CTCTCTCTCTCTCTCTCTCTCTCTCTCTCTCTCTCTCTCTCACACACACACACACACACACACACACACACACACCTGGACACATACACACTCTCTCTCTCTCATAGTTCCAAGACCACAAAAAATGAAAGCAACAGACACGAATAACAAACTCACCGTCAGTCATCAAGGTGCGGTCGTTCGAACGCCTTGACGCTGCACAGCTCAAGCCTCAGCGTCCAACATTCAGGATGGTGTGGTTGTGTGTGTGTGTGTGTGTGTGTGTGTGTGTGTGTGCGTGCGTATGTGTTTATGTGTGTGTGCGTGTGTGTGGGTGTGTGTGGGTGTGTGTGTTCTGTGTGGGTGAGTCTGAGTATGTGTGACTGTTGTTATGTTCGCTATACAGAACTCACAAAATGACGCAGCCAGACTGTTTCGCCGGACTTCCACCGACTCATCAGGAGGTTGAACCCCGACAGTCCGCCCAAGACGAACTGTACTGATGGCCAAGGACTCAGCACGTTCGCGTGTGTGTGTGTGTGTGTGTGTGTGTGTCTGTGTGTGTGTGTGTGTGTGTGTGTGTGTGTGTGTGTGTGTGTGTGTGCGTGCTTGTGTGAGTCCATGTATGCGTGTGTGTGTGCGTGCGTGTGTGCGCGTGTGTGTGTGCGTGCGTGCGTGCGTGCCTGCGCGTGTGTTGGTGTGCACGTGAGCATGCGCGTGTGTCCAACGTAGAGCGAAGTCATAGTCGACCATAGCAGTGTAGCAGTCAGTCGGTGTCGAGCGCTGTAGCCTAGGGTATGAAAGGTCGACAGTCGATTGGAGGGCAGGTGTGGTGTGGGGCCACGCGGTTTTTTCCGCACCGCCTCCCAAAATCGGAAAAAGTTTGTTACGTGTGGCCACTTGGCGCTGGCCCGGCAACGTCCGACAGTACCGGTGCTAGCGCTGGGGCCCAGTACCTTGTGTGGTGGTACCGGCTCCGGTGCGCCGGTCCGGTACCAAGCGTGGTGCCAGCACTGGCATGCGGAACTGGTACTGGCCCTGGCGACGCTTCAACTTTTAAGGAAAAACGATCAGCAGACGATCGGGACTGTCGTGCAGCAAAAAATCGGAGGGCCCCGATCGTCCGCTTGTCACAGGCAGGAAATTAGCGATAGTTATATATGTAGTGATGTGCATTCAGTGCAGACAGAGGGTACTTTTGGAGGCTGCTTACAACTCCGTACAAAAAGGGAGACAAAGTTGAGTCACACATAAGGAATTATGGCCCAATCACACTGCTCACACTACCGTATAAGATGCTCGCTAAATTCCTAACTAACAGGCTTCTTCTGCATATGCCTACCCTCATCCACTCAGACGTATTGGGGTTTATGCCCAACAACCTCTACATTCTGCAAAGTCCACTTACTGCGAGTGATACCCCAGTTGCAGGTGGGCACACCCCAAGGCGGGTACCAACCGCTGCTCACACTATCGTATAAAATGCTCGCTAAAACCATAACTAACAGGCTTCTCCTGCATATGCCTACCCTCATCCACTCAGACCTTTAGGGGTTCATGCCCAGCAACCTCTACAGTCTGCAAAGTCTACTTACGTCGAGTGATAATTCCATCTTACTGCAGTTGCAGGTGGACACACCCCAAGGTGGGCACCGACCACCACTGCCCTCAAGGTGCCTGTGACGAAAACCGAGCTAGACTACCACTCACCCACACCAGACGAAAGACTCCATGAATGGAAGGTTTGCACCCCATCATAAGGCAGCAAAACCCCTATGAAACAAAAAAAGGTCTGTCACAGCCAGAAAAATACACCCCAGACACCCCTGTGGCTTATGACTTGCTGGGGCAACAGGAACGAGGCTGCTGCACCCCATTTATGAATTTTGATGTCAAATTGTTCTCTAGGAGCCAGGACCATAAGGCCCTGTTCTCTTCTCTCTCTCTATCCTTATGAAGTGTAAGCCCCATCTTGCACAACGGGCCAATGCGAGACCCAGACCCCGTAACGGTGGGGGACAGGCCGACACAGGTGGACCAATGGTGGTGGGAGGCAGGGGGGGGGAATTGCACAGGGGGAGGGGGGACTGGTGAGGAAGGGACCGGCGGGGGTGGGAGGCCAGGTCCCGCTGGACGTGACGGCACACCAACACACAGAGGCTAGCCTGCACACTCACACAAACATCAGCACATGCACGTGAGTGTAGGATCCTAGGAGGGGGAGGAGGAGGTCGCGCAAGAGAGAGGAGGTGTTCACACACAAACATGGACATGGTTGTGAAGGGGGAGGAGGTCAGGTGAGGGGGACGAAGATGTGTGAGGGGGAGGAGGAGGCTGTGTGTGTGTGTGTGTGTGTGTGTTGTTAAAGCACCCCAAATTATCTCTCTCATTTCCTCCACAAATCATAACAATCCATAACGAAAAAGTATAGATAAACAAATATAGTCGAAAATGCAAGTGTGGCCACGTTTGTGTGGTTGAGCGCCAAGTGCCCACACACCCGTCTGCCGCCGGAGAGGCACACTTGTACATATACATGTATAGATATATAGTATATACATATTATGGCATAATCCATAAAAGGGTGGAGGGCAAAAGGCAACTTACCTAAGACAGAGCACTCCACCAGCAAGTAAGCACCAACCCCATCCGCCATAGGTCCGAAAAACCTTGGAGAGCCCTCCGCCCACATAACCACAAACTTAATTAAACAAACCCAACAACATAACACAAAAGGCTCCACTAACAAAAAAGCACTGACCACACATGCCAATGATCTAAAAAAAATTAGAGCCCTCTGCGACGGCCTACAACGCCACCACAAATCAAAATTACACCGCAGGACCTCTACGCAACACCAAGAGTGTCATGGACCCCCCCCTGCCGCACAACCTGCAGAATCAGATGATATGCTAGTGCTACAGTGAGGCCACTGCGAGTACTATGCCAAATTCCACAAGATCTCCACGCGACACCAGGAGCGCTACTGCTTAAAACACCCTAGAAACTTCCCCATTCTTCCACGTGCTCCGAAAGAGCAGCCTGTGGGAATGTCACCCACAGCAAACACTCTCTGAGCCTCCACACAAAGACATTGTGGCCAAAACCCCAAACTCCCACCCCAGGAAAAACTTGTGGCCACCCACAGACATTACTTCACCAACAAGACAGCCCATTCTGCAAAGCAGGGCAAAGACTTATGCCGTGTATACGAAACCAAACCAGCAAAACACATCCATCCACAGAGTAAGAATAGCTCCCTAGTACGAAGCCCGATCCTAACCGCTCAAATCTACCAGGACAGAGAGCTAGTAACCCCAGAATGGGTGTTGTTGAAGCACCCCAAATTCTCTCTCTCATTTCCTCCACAAATCATAACAAACCATCCTCTGTGTGTGTGTGTGTGTGTGTGTGTGTGTGTGTGTGTGTGTGTGTGTGTGTGAGAGAGAGAGAGAGAGAACACACACATGGACGTGGTTGTGCAAGGGGGAGGAGAACATTAGGCAAGGGGGAGGAGGAGGAGGTTGTGTGTGTGTGTGTGTGTGTGTGTGATAGTATGTCATGACACGCTTGCCTGTGTCACGCATATCTCCGATGGAAGATCACCGGCACACCTTGTACTCCGTAACTGTGCAGGTATGGCATGCCTCAAGCGTGGTAAGACCGACTCTTACTGGGGCAAATGGATAATTTCACGTTCTTCCTGGTCTCATTGCTACCTAGCGACGAAGGGCGCATCCCCTTATGCAGACAAGACAGGCACACAAGGCAGGCTGACGACAACAACCAGCAGTCGACGAAGTCGAGGAGCAGAGAGGCAATGAGCTGTTGGATGACAAGGCACAATGGGCACATGGGGAAAGCGAAAGGATTCAAGGCAACACAAAGATTATAGGGCACAGGGGAGGCGCGAGGGCAGACAACACAAGCACAAAAGGCAGGGAAACTACAACAACCAGCACACAAGGCAAGCACCAAAACCAAGAAAACTGAAAAAAATAAAAAATAAATAAAATAAAAACTGATAATGACAAGATTGTTTCGTCAGAGTTGCTCCGACTCGTCAGGAGGCTGAACCCTCAACAATCTGCGGAATGCCCATATTGATGGTTTGGGTCATGCACCCTTTGACCCTTGTTCAAGGCAAACTGGGCAGCAACCCTGCGGAGCACCAGGCAACACAGTAGAGACAACACGGCTGCACAGCGCCAAAAACGACTGCAAGGAACGACATGGCACACAGGACTAGCAGCACGGCAACCAAACAGTGAAGCACCAGGCAACACCACCACGACAACCACACTGCAAGGGACGACAGGGCAAGCGGACAAGCAGCAGAGAAACCATGCTGTGAAGCACAAGGCAACACCAACACGGCAACCAAACTACACGGGACGCAAGCAAAGGACACGGAAGGCACAACCAGCGAAGGGGCAGCAAGGCAGCGGAGCAGCGAAGCACAAGGCAACACCACAACCCAGCCACACCACACAGCGAAGACAGCAGCTTGCCAAGAACAACCTGCGAGGCAAGCAGAACGGGCAGCAAGGCAGTGGCGGAGTGCAGACAAGGCCATCCACACATCCAACACAGAGAAAAGCACCACATCACCTACTCACATCACGGGTGAACCCCACAGACTGTTGGTTCCCACCACCCACTGAGCCAGGAAGACACTCCGATGAGCATCCGTCATCACCTACAGGCAACACAGACATCCCGAACTGAGCGGCCCCTATAAGAGTGCAGTACGCACTCCAAACGAGGAACCACCGACTGTTTGGCACTACTTAAAGGTGCTCAGTTGGGCATACACAAATACTCGGAAAATTTGGGGGAGGCGGAAAAACAAACATACCAGAAACTCTGTGTGTGTGTGAGTGTGTGTGTGTG